GTTTTTCTTTCTTGGTTATTGATTTAAAATATATATAAAATACAACCAGAGAATGCTTGCCTTAAGTAAAATCAGCACCTTTATGAAGCTACTCTGTTTGCCTACTTCAATAAAGTCTTGGAGGTGGGAATACGTTAAGTTGCTCCTTCTCATTTTAAAGAATGGATGGTGGTGTTGGGGAGCAGATCATATGTAAGTAAAACATTTATAAGGGAAAATATATAACACACTACTTTCATATACTTATTCAATCTGTATGCTGAACAAATAATCTGAGAAGCTGAATTATATGAAGAAAAATGTGGCATCAGAATTGGAGGAAGACTCATTTAATACCTGTGATATTCAGATGATACAACCTTGCTTGCTGAAGTGAAGAGGACTTAAAATACGTACTGATGAAGATCAAAGACCACAGGCTTCAATACGAGTTGCATTTCAATGTAAAGAAAACAAAAATCCTCACCACTGGACCAGTAAACAACATCCATATAAATGGAGAGAAGATAGAATTTGTCAAAGATTTCATTTTGCTTGGATCAACCATCAACACTCATGGATGCAGGAGTCAAGAAATCAAACAACATATTGCATTAGACAAATACGCTGCACAAGCCCTCTTTAAAGTGTTGAAGAGCAAAGATGTCAGTTTGAGGACTAAGGTGTATGTAAGCCAAACCATGGTATTTTCAGTAACCTCATATGCATGTGAAAGTTGAACAGTGAATAAGGAAGACCATAGAAGAATTGATACATTTGAACTACATTGTTGGAGAAGAATATTAAAAATACCATGGACTGCCAAAAGAACAAATCAGTTTGTGTTGGAATAAGTACAGCCAGAGTACTCTCTGGAAGCTAGCATGTTCAGACTTTGTCTCTCAAACTTCGGACACATTGCCAGGAGGGACAGTCGCAGGAGAAGGATATCATGTTTGGTAAAATATGATAAGCATTGGACTGCAAACCACAAAATCTGTGGTTCAGGGCTGCCAGCGACTCCTGGAGAGAAAGATGAGGCTTTCTGCTCCCTGGAAGATTTAAAGCCCTGGAAGCCCTATAAAAAGACGCTGGGAGTGGGAACTAACTCTACAGCATTTAACAACAACAGTGGATCAGAGAGAATACCATTTGTTCCTTAGATTTTATTTCTGTGAAGATAGTGTGCAATGAAGGAGACTTCCAGATAGACCAGAGGTGGGCAACGTCTGGCCTGTAGGCTGTATCAAGCCCTGGAAATCATTTTACCTGACCCTGCAAAGGGAACTGCAGTTCCAGATCACGTTGTTAAATGACATCAAGTCTGTTCTGTGGGTGAGTTAATCAAATGACCAAATACTGTTGTTATGTGCCACCAAATTGGTACCAACTCATAGCGACCCTACATACAACAGAATGAAACACTGCCTGGCCCTGGGTCAACCTCACAATTGTTGCCACGCTTGAGCTTATTGAAGCTGCCACTTTGCAAATCCATCTCGCTGGGGGTCTCCCTCTTTTTCTCTAACCTCCCCACCCCACCTTACCAAACATGATATCCTTCTCCAGTGACTGGTCCCTCCTGACAAGATGTCTGAAGTATGAGAGATGAAGTTTGGCCAAATATAGCAGGTTAATTTTTAAGTTGATAATTTTGTATGACCAACAAATTATGTTATAAATTTTTCCAGATAAAAGGTTCCCCAACCCTGAGATAGACAACTGGAAGAAGGTAGTATATTGTGTTGGGAAATTATTGTCTTTTCCAGCAGGTTAAGAGAAAAATAACCAAGGGAGGGGTCAGGATATGCAATCCATTAGAGCAGCTGCCTTAGAGCAGCCACCAGAACTCGACTTTTTGACAGGGAAGTTCATCATTTAGGATAAATGTTAAAGGTAGTTTCAAAAAGACTTTTGCTTCAGGATGAATGATGTGGCCTATGTGATTTCATGTTGGTGTTGACATTATAGTGTTAGAGAAGAATATTAAAAGTACTGTGGACTTCTAGAAAAGCAAACAAATCTGTTATGGAAGAATTATTGTCAGAATGCTTTTTAGAAGCCAGAATGGTGAGATTTCATTTCTTATACTTCGAATATGCCAAGAGGAACCAGTCCCTGGAGAAGGATATCATGCTAGGTAAATGGAGGGTCAGTGAAAAAGAGCAAGACCCCCAATGAGATGGCACAGTGGCAGCAGCAATGAGCTGAAGTGTAACAACAATTGTGAGGATGGCGTAGGACCGGGCAGTGTTTGGTTCTATTTTACATAAGGTTGCTATGAGTTGGAACTGACTCAATGGTACCTAACAAAAGCAACAATGTGATTTCATGAGATAGTCAAAGCACTTGCCCACATTGTGGCTTGGAGTCACATTTTGAACCCATATTTCAAGCATGCTAAACCCAAGCATTGAGTAGGTAGCTGTATATGACTACGGCGTAGTCCAAATCATATTCAGTGCTACTGTTAGAAGACATGTTTTGGAATATCCCTTCTAACACACATTTGCAAGAATGTCTGATCATTATAGTTAACCCTATATAAAAATGTTTATAGAGTCCTGCTATGGCACTGTAGAATAAGCACTGGACTGCCAACCACAAGTTCAGTGGTCCAAAGTTACCAGCTGTTCTTCGGACACCCTATACTGGGAAGAACACACTCAGTATTTCTCAAACTGAAAGAATTCATAAAAGAATTCAAACCTCGATTTGCAATACTATGGGAAAAATAATGAATGATGCAGAAGGCATCAAAACAAGATGGAAGGAATACAGAGTCCTGGTGTGGCGCTGTGGTTAATGCACCAGACTGCAAAGTCATTTGAACTCAAGGTCCGTGGTCCAAGCTCAGCAGCTGCTCCTTGGAAACCCTATACAGGGTCGCTATGGGTCAGAATCGACTCAATGGCACTTAACAACAACAATACCAAAAATAAATGCTTGATGTTCAACCATTTCATGAGGTAACATATGATCAAGAGTCAATAGTACTTGGATAGAAGTCCAAGGTGCACTGAAGACATTGGCAAAGAACAAGGCTCTGAGAATTGATGGAATACAAACTGAAATCTTTCAACAAACTGATGCAGCATTTGAGGCGCTCACTCATCTAGGCCAAGAAATTTGGAAGACAGCTAGCTACCTGAACAACTGACTGGAATAGATTCCTATTTGTTCCCATTCCAAAGAGAGTTAGTTGGCCCAATTGAATGTGGAAATCATCAAAAAATATCATTAATATCATATGAAAGTAAAATTTTGCTAAAGATACTTCAAAAACAGCTGCAATACTACACTGACAAGGAATTGCTAGACATTCAAGCCAGATTCAGAAGAAGACGTGGATGACGGTATCATTGGTGACATTAGATGGATCTTGGCTGAAGGCAACAAATACCAGAAAGATGTTTACCTGTGCTTTATTGACTATGCGAAAGCTTTCCACTGTGTGGGTCATGAAAAGCTACAGACAACATTGCAGAGAATGAGTATTCTGGAATTGTGTTCATGAGGAATTTGTAAATAGACCATTCAAATAGAACAAGAGGACACCGAATGGTTTAAAATCAGGAAAGGTGTGTGCCAGGGTTGCACTCTTTCACCATTTTTATCCCATCTGTATACTTAGCAAATAATCTGAGAAACTGGATTATATGAAAAAGAACATGGTACCAGGATTAGAGGAAGTCTCATTAATAACCTGCGATATGCAGATGATACAATCTTGCTTGCTGAAAGCAAAGAGGACTTAAAATATTAATTGATGATGAGTAAAGACCACAGCCTTCAGTATGGGTTGTGCCTCAATGTAAATAAAGCAAAAATCCTTAAATGGAGACGAGATTGACATTGTCAAAGACTTAATTTTGCTTGGAACCACTATCAATAATCTGGAAAGTACCACTCAATTTGCCTTACCCAAATCTGCTGCACAAGACTTCCTTAAGGTGTCACAACAGCAAAGATATTATTTTGTGAACTAAGGTACACCTGACCCAAGGCATGGTATCATATATATGTGAAAGTTGAATGATGAATAAGGAAGACCATAGAAGAATATGATGTTGGAGAAGAATATTGAAAGTACCATGGAATGCTAGAAGAATTAAAAAAAAAAAAAAAAAAAATCTGTGTTGGAAGAAGTACAGCTAGAATACTCCTTAGAGTCAAGGATGGCGAGATTTCCTCTCTCATACTCTGAGCATAGTTTCATTCATGAAGGACCACACCCTGGAGAAGGAGGGAAATCCCAAATGAGAAGGATTGGCACAGTGGTATCAGCAATGGGCTCTAGTTTAACCGATTATGAGGTTGGTGCAGAATCCGTCAGTGTTTGGTTCTGTTGTGCGTCAGGACGCTATGTGTGTTGTAACCGACTTAATGGCGCCTAACAACAAGGATTCGGAACAGACTCGACGGAACTTAACAACAAAAACCGTGGTGGAACTTGTATAACCCTGTTCAGAGAATGAAAACATGAAGAACAAAGTGAGGAAGAAGACAGAACTGCATTACAACAAATGAAAATTGGTGGAAGAGCAGAGGTGAATGTTAGGGTCGCAAAAGGGCGAGTGAATGGAAGAGCCCTGTGAGCCAGGGTTCTGGTGTCCTCTCTGCCTTCTAGATGGTGTCCTCAGATTCCTGACCTTGTGGGAGTGTGGTGGAGCCCCCATGGAAAAGTGGGAGAGATGGTGGCTTCTTTAGGGTAATGAGTGGAGGAGACAGACCTGGAAGTAGCTGGAGGAAGAAGGAAAGGTGAAATGCCAGGGCTGCATTTTCTGAGCCTCTGAAGTCTGGAAGAGCAGGCCCCATGCGAGGTGGGGCTTTTCTGAAGTGAGAGGGTGAGAAGCAAACTGAGAAAGGATAAGTGGAGGCAGGACTGTGGGATGCAATGCTGAGCTCTAAGCAGGAAGGTACTAGAGAGGCGGGTGCAGTAAGGTCTCTCCAAGAGTGGGCGCACATGCTTAGCATTCAGGGGTGGGTGGTGACTTGGACCCCGGGGAGTGGCAGGCATGATGGAACGTGACCAGGAAGCCCTGCAAGCGTCAACACCCCCAGAATGGACTCTGGGGCTTTGGCAAAGCTGGCAGAAGCGGCGATGGAACCTCAGAGACCAAAGGCGCGGTGTCAACAACCACCGTGGCGGGGCGGGAGCAATTGCGCGTGCGCAGCTTGCGCAAGCGGGGAAGCAAGGGGGGGG